GTGGTGGTGGTGGTGGTGGTGGTGGTGGTGATGGTGGTGATGGTAATGGTAATGGTGGTGATTATAATGGTGGTGATTATGATGATTTTGTTGTGTGCCTTCAAATCATTTCCAACTGATGGCAATCCCACAATGGCAACACCCTCTGAACAAATCTGGCCAAGAAAACCCCACGTTAAAATCATCCAAACATAAAGTTAAAAGATGCCAATTCATAGCAATGAGCCAGCATGGTGTAGTGGTTTGAGTGTTGGACTAGGACTCTGAAGACCAGGGTTTGATTCCTGGCTTGGCCATGAAACCCACTGGGTGACCCTGGGCAAGTCACACTCTCTCAGCCTCAGGGGAAAGCAATGTCAAACTTCTTCTGAACATATCTGGCCAAGAGAACCCCATCATAGGTTCACCATAGGATTGCCATAAGTTGAAAATGTCTCAAAAGGTGTAGCTAGAGAGGGGATGAGGGCATTGCCTTCCAAATAAGAATTCTTTCTGCCATGAAATTTTCCTATATACATATAGGCAATACATGGCAAATGGGTGCAACTTGGGAGCATTGTTTTCAAGTCTTCCAGTAAAAAATGTTGCACGATGCCCACCTTGTAGCTGTAGTTCTGTTTTAAATTCTATTTTATGTAGTTCTGTTTTAAATGTAAACTCTGGGGGACTCGAATCTCCAATCCAACCCGACGAGGGTTAAGGCCCACGCTAAACGTTTTAACTCCAAAGGCGAAAAGTAAAATAAAATAAAAATGTTGACTTGCTAAATTCTTCAGTCCTTTCACACTTGTCAGTTCAGTTTTTGTTCTTTATTTTATTTTATTTTATTTTGCAAGCACAACCTCGCCTATTTATGAGGGTGCGTCGAGATTCTCCCTGACAGCTTCCCTCCCAGATTTCCTTCAGATTCACTCTTAGGTTCCCACAAAAGACAACAGAGTTTTCTTTTGAGTCACTGGGATTTATTTCCACCGCCAACCCTTCCTTCTTTTGTTAAATACGTTCATAATAGCTAAGTGAATCACGGTGAGCAAGGCTGCTAAACATCCAGGAGAAACTTGCCTAAGGCAAAAAGATGCATTTTTATATATTTAAAATTGGAGAGATGGGGAAAGAGAATGGGGGGCAAATCCTCTCTCTGTCTCCAGTGAGTTCCAATTGCTGACAAAAACCTGAAAGCCAAAAAGTTACTATATTTTCAGAAGAAGGACACCACTTTGCTGTAATAGAGGTGAGATCCAGTATCGGTCCTGGCCCACCTCCCTACGCAGGTAAATTATATTTCTTAATGTTCCAATTTGGCAGGGATGATCACAATTACTCCTCTGCCTTCCCACTTTTCAACCATTTTGAAAATGTCCCAGTTTCTCTCTCCTCCTCCCACCTTGCGCCTTTTTCCTCAGCTTATTTCAACTGTTGCAAACTGAGATCAGGAAATACTAGGAAAGGTAGAAGGCAGGAGAAAGAGTGGAAGACCACATGCTAAATGGATAGACTCTATAAAGGAGGTCACAGATACGACTTTACAAGACCTAAGCAGAGCAGTGGAGGACAGGAAGTCTTGGAGATGTCTCATCCACAGGGTCACCATGAGTCGAGGTTGACTCGAAAGCAGTTAACAACAACAACAAACTTATTCAAAAGGCAAAAGTAATTTGCATTCCAACAACTCAGCAGAGGAGAGAGGAGAGAAGGAGGCAGATGTCTCCAACATTTCACACATGAAAACCAGGACACTTGTAGGCATGCAACACCACAAGATGGCCAAATTTATTAATAAGGAAGAACATAAAATCTGGGAGAGGCTGCATCAGTTTACTTTTTTCCTGAGCTTACTGGGAAAGGCAAGATTCCTCCCTTCTCATCTTCCTCATGTTAACATAATTCAACGATTTCCAAACTCTGGCCTTCCAAGTGTTTTGGACTTAGGCTCCCAGAATCCCAGACCATTGATCAAGATGGCTGAGGCTGCTGGGAGCTGAAGTCCAAAACACCTGGAGGACCAGAATCTGGAAATCATTGAGCTAAATGAATTGCAAGCCACCTTTGCCCTTGGAGCTCCATTTGCAGCAACTGAAGGAAGCTGAGGATGAAAGTGGGAAACGGAGAGAGAAACAGGGACGGATCAAAAGCCGCCGGAACAGTGGGATGGCAGAGGATTAATCAGGAGTTTTCCCTGACACATTTGGACAGTTTAAGGGTATAGAGGACATATAGAGCAAAAAAAAAAATACTTTTCTGGGGAAGTACAGGAGGGTACACACCTAGTGCGGCCCCATAACCTAGCACAGTTGCCCCCTCCTGCTTTAGAGTAAACTTGCAGAGTTTGCAATTGCAAGTTCTCTTCCCCATCCACCTTTTTTTTCCCCTTTCTTTCTTCTTCACAACTTAATGTTATATACCTGAACTGCGCTTAATGTCCTCAATGCATGCCATATATCCCTTCCATCTCACCAATCTTCCCCATAGCCCCATGGCTCTGTCTGCGTCGCTCTGATCTATCTTCTTTCCTTCTCAGTGTGAAACTGTTTTTCATGTCTTCCCCCCCCCCTCCATCCACCCAGACACACACTTTCTGCACAGATTAAACTATAGAGCGACGGGAAGAAGAAGGAAAAGAAGACGCAACTACCTGAACTCTTAATAAATCCGACTAGATTAGCCAGAGAGAGAGATCAGAACATCAGGGGGACTTGATTAACAAGGCAAGGATTAAGTCCAGAGATCTGAATGCGACATGCGGCAAAGTGTGCTTAGATGGTATATTTTTTAAAAACACCTTGGGCTTAACGATGGAGAAAAGGGCTAATAATTCTAGGTCACCGGTCTGTGCAAGGTAGATAAAGAATTGCAAAATTAGGTGGAGCACTGTTCCAAATTTGTGTATCAGGGTGCTAAAGGCAGAGATGCCAAGCAAGGGCTCCGTTCCATTCCTAGGAGATTTGTCCATGGATACTGTTGTTGTGTGCCCTCGTTTCCAGTTCACAGGGATCCTAACGGGATCCTTGTACCATTGTCTTTCTGTGAGGTTGAGAGAATGTGACTTGCCCAAGGTCATCCAATGGGTTTCCATGGCCGAGCGAGGATTTGAACCCTGGCCTCCAGAGTCCTATTCCAACAGTCAAGCTCTGTACTATGCACACTCTCTGCAGCTTAGATAGATCCTTTAAAGTTTGAACTAAAACCCATACAAGACTCACCACTCTAATGATAGGGTATCTTGGCTGCTACTGCCTGAAGCAGCATATATAAACCATCACATTGCCACCAGAAGCAATGCATTTAAATCATCATATTGCTCCAATATGCACTCAGTGAACTACCTGAATGCCAACTGGTTTTGCACTTTGAACTCTGTTTGCAGCGACTGAGGTCAGCTGAGGATGAAAATGGAAAGTGGAAGGAGGAGAGAGAAACTGGGACATTTGAAGAGGCACTGAAAACAGTGGGATGGCAGAGGATGCCCCAGTACATGTGGGTTCCTTGGCAGATCTCAGAAGAAGATGCTGCCAGTTTGCTAGGCAGTACGGCCAAATGCTCCACCTTTACACTGAGTAGGGATCCATAGTTGAGTTCTACCTATGGAAGGAATAGTACCATTTTTATTCTGCTTTGGTCAGACCTCACCTATAATATTGTGTCCAGTTCTAGACACCACGATTCAAGAAGGATGTGGACAATCTAGAGGATGGCGACCAAAATGGTGGAAGGTCTAGACATCACCAAGTCCTATGAGGAGCAGTTTAGGGAGCTGGAGATGTATAGAACTGGAGACGAGAAGATTAAGATGTGACATGATAGCCATGCTTAAATATTGGAAGGGATATCCCATTGAGGATGGAGCAAGCTTTTTTTCTTCTGCTCCAGAGACTAGGACATGGAGCAATGGATTCAAATTACAGGGAAAGAGATCCCACCTCAACATTAGGAAGAACCTCCTGATGGTAAGAGATGTTCGATGGTGGAAAACAGTGCCTCGGAGATGGTGGTGGAGTCTCCTTCTTTGGAGGGTTTTAAACAGAGGCTGGATGGCCACCTGTCAAGGGTGCTTGGATTGTGTCATCCGACATGGCAGAGGGTTAGACTGGATGGCCTTTGTGGGTCTCTTCCATTTCTATGATTCTATGAATCATGCTATGTTGGGCAATGTAGAATCTCAGCCTCTGTCTGTTAAACCACCTTGTATCCAAAGTCTGTAGCAGCTCTACTTGTGCCGTATTATTTCCAAGGTCTGTTACAAGTAACTGCATTACTTGAACCTCATTGTTTCCGGGGACTCTTACATATAAATGCATGACATTACTATTTGCATTATTTCTAAGGCCAGATACGTGTAACCACTTTCATTTGTACAAAATTATTTCCAAGGTCTGATTCCAGTCTAGTGGTCTGATCATCCCTAACCTGACATTTCCATTGCAACACCATTGAATATACAACTTCTTCCTCAGAGCAAATACTCTTTGCGCCGAACCAAAAACAAAGCAAAACCAAACCAAACAAAAATGGGATCAGACTTGTTGTAGCTGTAGATTGCATTTCTGCCTCCTGCTAGCCAGGTGACAGACAGTTCCTACCTGGAATGTTTTCGCTTCTTTCCGATATTCTCAAAAGCTTATTTTTAAATCTCACCGTTGACACGTACATGGTGTGCTGCAAGGACTGATAAATAAATCCTTCAATTGCTCTTGTGGTTCAGTCCTTCAATTAAGTTTCTTGATGATGTCTACAAGGAATTATATTTTTGAGGGGTTGTTCTTTTCCTCCTCTCTTGCGGGGAAATTTAGCAACCAACAGAACCGCACTCATCTGTAATGGTGCAAAAATCCCAAAGCTGTGGGATTAGGAATGGGTGATGTCTATCAAGAGCAAAATGTGGGACGCAGAAGAATAGGGACAGAGTTATAAGTCGGGCAGACCTTTGTTCAGATCTTTACCCATTGTTGAATTTGTTGCAGTTCTTTTGTGCCTTCAAGTTGATGCCAGTTTATGGAAACCTTCTCCTTGGGTTTTATGGGCAAAACTTCAATGCTAAGCGTTGTTGTACCTCTAACAGGAAAAATTGTAGAGGAGCAGAATTATTTTTGGAAGGGGCAATGCTCCCACTTTGCTGCCCATCATTGCAACCCTAGTTGGCTCCGGCTGTTGCATTTCAATGACTGAATTGAGTTGACCCCTAGCATTTTTTTGCCCAGCGTCTCCAGGTTGGAGATTGAATTCAAAGGGATAGCTGTGTTAGTCTGGAAAATCAGTATGCAAAGAGATCTTGTATACCTTGGAGACTAACTGAAAGACAGAAGTTGGTAGCATGAGCTTTGGTAGACTTAGAAACTACTTCCTCAGATGCACCCGAGTTGGTAGCATGACTTTTGGTTGACTTGAGCTTACTTCCTCAGGTGCATCTGAGTTGGTAGCATGAGCTTTGGTAGACTTCAGCCTACTTTCTCAAATGGATCTGAGAAAGTAGGCTCAGGTCTACGAAAGCTCATGCTACCAACTTCTGTCTTTCCGTTGGTCTCAAAGGTGCTATAAGATCCCTTTGCATACAGATCCAAGATTGGTTTTGATTCCCAACAGCTTTCTCTAATGAAGCCCAGCCTTTTCTCCAGAACAACAGCCTCAACATCTGCAGCTCTCAATAGATTATCGGACTGGTTTTTTTCCCCTCCCTCCTCCCTTTGAAAGCTACCAAAGTGGTAAAACACCGCCTGGAATTTGGGACGAACAAATCCAGCCATTGCAGAAATGGCTATTGATTGATCAAAGATCACTTAAACCAACTGCTTTCCTCTGTCTTTCTGCTGGCCCTTGGCTTCACCCTTAGCAGAACGGTTCTCTAAAAGTCGGTCGTGGCTCTTTGCCAGGATTAATGCATGCAGCCAGAATGTGGGCGAGGAATTTTAGAAACTTCTGCAATGTCGATAGCTAAGTAAATAACCACAGGCCAATTTCATCCTTACTGGAGACAGCAAAAAGGAGGTTTGTCTGGCAGTTCCTGGAGATTTTCACCACAAATTGGAGTATGCCACTCACAAGGGTCAATGCTTGGAAATTTCATGCATGTGTCTTTCCTGAAGATTTGTGCATTTATAGACCAACCTTTTTCATCTTTAGTCTCTTTTGACTCTTCATATATATATATATATCCTCCTGGGTACACAGGCAGATATCAATATCGGAGCTGCTAATTTTATTTGGGGAAGAAATAAACAAAGACTCATAAAAATTTACTAGATTAAAAATGGAACACTGACTGTTTAGCAGCTGGACAAGAGTGTGATGCGCTCAAGATGGGAAGATGCAAAAGACTCGGAGATGATGCTGTGAAATCAATACTTGGGAAGAATAAGCAATTGAGACAAGCAGAAACTTTACTGAGATGCAGATAAAAGACTTCAGGCTTTGATTTTTATAAACACAAATATGCTTTGCTGGCTTCAGAACTGGGAGGGACCCTAGAGATGGAACCTCTCAACATGAACCCCAAACATGGAAGATGCAGCTCTTGAAAATGAAGGATCTCCTTGAACTAAAAATCAAGGTTTGGATCCTATTGCTAGTCTCAACTAGAGTTTGTTGATTTCCAATTTAATGGCGACCCTAAGGCAACCTTATTAAAGGGTTTTCATGGCAGGTTTCTTCAGAGGGGGGTTGCCATTGCCATCCTCTGAGGCTGAGAGAGTGTGACTTGCCCAAGGTCACCCCAGTGAGTCGCCATGACTGAGCTAGGGTTCATATCCTGGCCTCCAGAGTCCTAGCCCAACGTTGAAACCATTACACTACACTGGCACATATTTTAACTACCTTTTTTTTAAAAATTACCTTTCTAAAAACTGGTTTGATTTAATGCTTTTGATACGATTGGGTTTGGTTTGGTTTGGTTTTGATGTTTTTGTTCCCTCCATTGTCTTAACTATATGTTCTGTTTTTAATTTAAAAATTGTGAGTCACTGTGCATTTCTATGTTGGGACAAAGGCGAGATAGAAATTAATTGGTCAATTAATTCATTACTTATGCCTGGATGCATAGTGTGATTCTATGCACAGCGGTGCCACAGGAGCAAATCTACTTTTGCAAACTTGCATTCCATGCAAATGTTCTGCATTGGATTATATATATATATATATATATATATATATATATATATATACAATTCTTTCTGTTGGGAAATGTATGATTGCACCTACAGAATTCCACAGTGCATTTCCTTGCACAGTGGCACCAAATTTATATTCCATTGGAATATATTTATATTCCAATGCAGAAATGGAATATATATATATTCCAGTGCAGGAATGGATTGGAATATATATGCATTTGGTGCCACTGTCCAATGCAGAAATGGAATATATATATATTCCAATGCAGAAATATATATATCAAATTCCACTGTGCATTTGGTGCCACTGTCCAATGCAGAAATGGAATATATATATATCCCAATGCACCTACAGAATTCTACAGTGCATTTCCTTGCACAGTGGCACCAAATGAGTAAATCCATTTCTGCATTGGAATATATATATATACCATTTCTGCATTGGTGTGTATATATATATATATATATATATATATATATATATATATATAGCCAATTCTTTCTGTTGGGAAATGTATTGTTGCACCAACAGAATTCCACAGTGCGTTTCCTTGCACAGTGGCACCAAATGGGTAAATCCTTTTCTGCAACCTTGCATTCCATGCAAATGTTCTGCCTTGGACCCCCAAAAATTCAAATGCCCAATTCTTTTCCATTGGGAAATCTATGCCCGCGCTGCTGAGACGGCGACAGGATCCCAGTAGACCATTCTAGCAAATTGAGTGGGCCTAAAGCTCTTTCCTTGATAATGAAAGACGCCTGTCTCTTTCATGTTTACCAATCAGGCTTTCTGGAAAATTCGCCTTAATAGGTCTCTGCTTTACTTAGCAAAGGGCGACGGCTTCTGTTCCGATTAGCAGGGCTAGACGTGGAGCGATGGCCGCGGCCCCATTAGACCCCGTAACATGAGTTTCATTGAGTCCCTGAGAGACAGACTTCCTCTGCTGTCAATGAAGTGAGCAGAGGAAAAATTTCCATCCAAATCTCTCCTTCCCTTTCCCAACCCAACTCTTTGCTCAGCTCCTGGATCTCCAGCTCAGCAGCCAGGTTTCTGATACAGCTCTATTTTAAAAAAGCATGCACTGGAAATGTCAGTGTTGCAGGATAGAAAGGTGCAAAGAAGGGAAAAGAGATGTAATGACTACCTTGCAACATCGGTGCATATGCTGGTTCCCTAACTTTCCATTTCTTCTTGCATGCCTTCCAGTCATTTCCAATTTATGGTGGCCCTAAGGTGAACCGCAGGAGCCAGCATGGTGTAGTGCAGTTAAAGTGATGTCAAAGTGCATTGATTTTGCAGTGTAGATGCAGCCTGTTGTTGTTGTTGTTTCTGTGTGCCTACAAGTCATATCTGACCTCTGGCAACCCTAAGGCAAAAACCGATCATGGAGTTTTCTAGGCAAGTTTCTTCAGAGCCAGCAATCAGAAATTCAGGGAGCTGAAATCCAAAACATCTGGAGGACCAAATTTTGGGAAACGCTGGTGGTTTGAGCCTGAGGCTATGGAATCTAGAGATCAGGCTTTGAATGCCAGCTCAGGCACTGAAACCCATTGGGTGACCCTGGGCAAGTCACACTCTCTCAGCCTCAGAGGATGGCAATGGCAAACCCCCTCTGAAGAAACTTGCCTAGACAACCCCATGATAGGTTTTCGCCTTAGGGTTACCATAAGTTGGAAATGACTTGAAGGCACACAACAGCAACAATAACAACAGGTTGCATCTGCACTGCAGACTTAATGCACTTTGACACCCCTTTAACTGTTGTGGCTCTAGGATTGGTAGTTTCATGAGATATTCAGCCTTCTCTGTTGAGAACTCTGGGGCCACAGCAAACTGCAAATCCCAGGATTTCATAGCATGGAGCCATGGCAGTTAAAGCAGCATCAAACTGGATTATTCCTGCAGTGTGGATGCAGCCTTATACATGCATAAGACCCCAATAGGATTCCAGTCATCGCCAATGCTTCCTGGCAGAACTTCTCCAAGGGTTTCGGGGAAGGTCTTTCCCATCGCTGTCTTCGTGATCCTCTTTTAATTGAAAATGGCAGGGATTGAACCGGTGACCTTCTGCATGTGAAGCACGCGCTTCGCCACTAAGCCACCGTCCCATTCCTTGTTCTGTGCATTAGCAGTTGTCCAAAATATTTTGCACAAAAGCTTTTTGTTTTTTCCCCTGGGGAATCGATGCACAACCTTTCAGGGGCATGGATTTCCAATCCTTTCAAGGGAACATTTCTAATGAGGCACGTGCCCTCATTTTCTCCGCAGCCTTGGCTTCCAGCGACTGGATGGATGGTCCTTCTTCCCACAAAATGCATTTCTTAAACAGAAAGAAGAGGAAGAAGAAATGCTGCATCTCTTAACAGAAAGGGCTGTGCTTTAATCCACATTTCTCTATTGATCAGAAGAATGGATAGATTTGAGTTGAGTTGTCCAAAGGTGGCATTGTGGGCATAACATGAGACCAAAGTACCAACAAAACTCTTCCCGACAACTTTATCCCTTGGTTCGGCATCCTCAGCATCCATGGAAAAACAGGGTTTATTTTTTTTTCCCCAAGGAGGTTTTACTCAAAAATTGTGTATTTTAACATTCTTTTTAAAAGCTGTTACTTAAACAAAATAACTTTTCTCGTCTGCATTTTTTCCAATATATAAATATATGTGGCTATGAACAGACATGTAAGCAATAAATGTGTGTCGCAAGCCTTCAAGTCGTTTCCGACTTATGGCGACCCTAAGGCAAACCTATCATCGGGCTTTCATGGCAAGATTTGTTCAGAGGAGGTTTGCCATGGCCTTCCTCTGAGGCTGAGAGACTGTGACTCTCCCACGGTCACCCAGTGGGTTTCCATCACCAACCGGGAACTTGGTCTCCAAAGCCATAGTCCAATGCTCAAACCACTGCGCCACACTGGCTCTCGAGAAATAAACACTTTTTAATAAATAAATAAAGATGCAAGAATCCAGCCGATAATGTTGGGTAAATGGGAAGGCTTAGCTATTTGAGCGTAGGGCTGTGGCTCTGGAGATCAGGGTTCGAGTCCACGGTCAGACATGGAAAACCATTGGGTGACCGAGTTACACACTCTCAACCCCAGAAAACCCCTTAGGAGACCGAAAGGTGGGTCTTTCAGTGGATTTTCTGGGGCAGGGAAGGTTTTCCTTGGCAAGCTTTGTTCAGATTAGGTTTGCCATGGCCTTCCCCTGAGGCTGAGAGCGTGTGACTCCCCCAAGGGCTCCAAGTGGTTTTCCATTCCCGAGTAGAGACTCGAACTCTGGTCTCAAGAGTATGGAGCTCCATAAACATGATGGAGGGCATTGTGTGTTCTCCAAACATTGGATATGCAACAGTGCCACAAAACTTGGCTTTCAGCAGTCTGGGTCTCTGGGTCTCTTTCCCCAAACCTTGCCTTTTGCAAGGGAAACTAGGATCTTCACTACCGCAATGCCATATTTTTGACAAGTCGGACCACTGATCTCTTGAAAGAGAACTGCATTAGCATGTGTCTGTTGTTTAATTTAAGAAAGCCAGACCTCTGGAAGACAGAAGCCGGAGCCGCTCCGAAGAGACCGGAGGACGTTTGCTCACTTCTTACGGTTCAGATTCAGATGTTTTAAAGATGAGCTGTCAGATGGAGAGATGCAAAGAGAAAATGTTTTTATCCCCTCGGCAGAAAAAGAAGAAGAAGATCAGATGAGTCGCTGAGAAATTTCACTATTAAGATGGCCTCTTAATAGATAAACCAAGCCCATTGCCCAATGCTGCCCAGAATGATGGGATTTAGGGTTCCCAGAAGGCGATATCCAATTTTAACCTTAACTCCGCTGTGTGCTTGTGCCTTTCGAGTTTTGGCATCTCCATCAGTTTCATTAGATTTTCTTAGGCAAGGAATACTCCAAAATGGTTTTGCCAGTTCCTTTCTATGAAACAGAGCTTGCCATGCCTCCATGCTATGGAATCCTGGGATTTGTAGTTTGCGACGGCACCAGAGCTCTCTGACAGAGAAGGCTCAATATCTCACCAAACTACAAACCTCAGAATCCAATTACATGGAGCCATGGCAGTGAAAGCGGTGTCAAACTGGATTATTTCTGCATTTCAGATGCAGCCTGAGCCATTTTATCCTTTAGTTGTCAAGAGAACGGGTGCAGAATCTGCTTCGTAGTCCAATAGTACCAATCTCCACACTGATCAAAAAGGCGACAAAGTTGATTTGTGCTTGTTTATACCCTAAAGGCACCAGATCCCGTTTGATCTTGGAAGCTAAGCAGGCTCAGTCCTGGTTAGTCCTTGGATGGGAGACCACCAATGAATCCCAAGTATTTCAGAGGAAGGAACTGGCAAAACCACCTCGGAGTCCTCCTTGCCTGAGAAAACCCTATGAAATTCATGGGGTCACCATAAGATGGCAAGTAACTAGAAAGCACATGCACAGATATTTAAATATCCTAAAGGCACCAGATCCCTTGTGATTTTGGAAGCTAAGCAGGGTCAGCTCTGACTAGCACTTGGATGAGAGACCATGAATGCATCCCAGGCACTGTAGGCTCTATTTCAGAGGAAGGAAGTGGCAAAAAGTCCTTGCCTATGGTTATGGGTAACCATAAGTCACTAGGCGACTGGAAGGCACATGCATAGGCCATGCAGAGGATGCCAAGTGTTAGCATGTGCATTGATGGGATCTGGGCTGATAGGAGCATCCTTTGCGGCTCAGCCTCAGGTGGCAAAATATCTTGGGTAGCACTGAGGGCCAAGGGAGTCACCTTGTTGTTCCGCACCATGAATCTAAACCAGTTCAGGGACAAGCGTCGCTCTGATCTTCCCCATACTTTGCATCATTCCATTCGTTGAGTAGTTTTACAGAAAAAGCCTAATGCCTTTTCACCGATACTCCTTTTTTCAAAAATAAAATAAAATTAAGGCGAGAGTGATCTCTGAGCCCCATGTTCTTTCTTTACCAGGGCCACTCCATTGCTTGCAGAATAAAGCCATCAAGAGTGAATTAGCAGTGTGCCTCTCTCCTTCGCAAACCTACAAATTAGGTCGAATGAGAACTTTACACTTTGTGAATAATATTCCTGCCTGGAAGCACTTTCCCAGATTGAGAGCAGTCTGCTCCATCACAGAACCAGCAATCTTCCAACGGTTTGGGGTTTTAGAGGGTTTTTTTCCCCCTTCTTCGGAGCAAGTCCCGACCCCAATTTGTAGGGAGCAGAGAGATGGTGTTTGGACATCCTTCAGTGTTTACGACTCTCCGACTTCAGTGATGGACAGAGCTGGCCGGTAATTGCAGACACCCAGCAGAATGGATTAAAAACAAACCGGCAACTAAGCCACATTAGGAGAGGTATAAATCCTTTTAAGTGCCTGCCTAGATCCAAAAAAATGAGACAAGCTGGACAGAGAGTTGATAACAGAATTAATATGGACTGTTGTTGACACAGAAGGAAATGAGATGCTGGGTGCATACAAAGAAGGAAAGATAGACATAGATGGATAGATAGAAGACAGATAGATAGATAGATAGATAGATAGATAGATAGATAGATAGATAGATAGATAGATAGATAGATAGACAGACATGTAATAGATAGATGGATGGATAGATAGATAGACATATATTAGACAGATGGATGGATAAGTAGATAGACAGATAGACATATAACAGATGGATGGATAGATGGATAGATAGACAGACAGACATATAATAGATAGATGGATGGATAGATGGATGGATGGATAGATAGATAGACAGACAGACATATAATAGATAGATGGATGGATAAGTAGATAGACAGACATATAACAGATGGATAGATTGATAGATAGACAGACAGACATATAATGGATGGATAAGTTGATAGACAGACAGACATATAACAGATGGATGGATAGATGGATAGATAGACAGACAGACAGACATATAATAGATAGATAGATAGATAGATAGATAGATAGATAGATAGATAGATAGATAGATAGACATGATGGATGGATGGATGGATGGATGGATGGATGGACGGATAGACAGGCAGACATATAATAGATGGATGGGTGGATGGATAGATAGATAGACAGATAATATAAAAGAAAGAATGAAAGAAAGAAAGAAAGAAAGAAAGAAAGAAAGAAAGAAAGAATAATAGATGGATAGATAGTCAGTTCTGTGAGACCGTGAGCCTTCTCTGTCAGAGAACTCTGGTGCCCCAATAAACTACAATTCCCAGGATTCCCTAGCCCTGAGCCAGGGCAGTTAAAGCAGTCTCAAACAGTTATTTCTGCAGTGTGTTTTGGATCTATGTCTCACATTCTGTTCAAGTTCTTCCAAGATTCAGATCCTCAGGAAATCCTAGGACTCACATTTTGCTCGGGCCCAAAATTGGGTACATTTGCTTTTCTTCATTTTCCTTTTCTTCATTTCCCCAGCATTCTTCTCTTTTGCTGGTTATGTATCTTGGTACTAATTGTGAGTTTATTTGGATTGGATTGGATCTGGTTCTATTTTTAATCTCTTTGTAACTAGGCAATCTGGTTTTTTAAGTTCATCTTGTTTTATTTATATATATATCGTCTTCTTTTTTTTTTCCTGGCAACGTTGTCCGATTCGCTATGGCTCGTGGCCGAAACCAATAAAACAGAACCGTTTGGGTGCTAAAAAAGAAAAAGTAATTGCGATATCACATAGACATTTGGGGAAGCGGTGGAAGCTTTACTGAGAAAAAATGGCAGCTGTTAATACTCCATTGGAAGACCCTCCAAATAAAGGATGCGTGTGCAAATACTCTGGATTCTGACAGTTAAATTTTTGCTAACTCCAAATATTGCCCCGCAAGGATGAAATCATTTGTCGTGCCATTTTTGTTGTGATGGCTTTGATGTCGATTCTGTCGAGCGGGAATGGGGAAATAGCCCACATTTTCTCCTTTATGGCTCCTTTTCTCGTTCTCATTCCTCCTGGTCTAACAAGAAGAGGGACTTTATTGAGATTATTCTGGGGTTAGATCATGCACTAAGAGCGATCGCTTTCCTGTCCTCTGCCTTGAGTTGGGAATTGTATGGAACTCCAAGTGATTTTGGACTGCAGCTCCTATCAGCCAGTGCAGAG